CGGCGCTGCCGATGGGCTGGAGCTGGGCGCTCTGGATGTGCCATGAGGTCCTTGTTGACGCGATGGACACTGTGGGTCTGGCTGGAGATACGTGGGTCCTCGACAAGGCCCGCGCTCCGCAGATGCATGGTGGCCGGGTGGCCATGGCGCCTTACGTCGACAACGGCAACATGGTCTCGCTGTCGGCGGCCGCCGTCAACGAGAGGTTGGCGGCGCTCACGGCGGAGCTGGACAAGCGCGGGCTGCGCTGGCATGAGCTCGAGTGGGCTCAACCTGGCCTCACCGTACTCGGTCTCGTGCTTGACGGCCGACGAGGGCGTCTCCGCCACACGGCAAAGCGGGCCTGGAGGCTCTACCTATCACTACACCGGGTCGTGGAGGCGCCGTGGCTGGCGCGGTGGCAGCTCCGGCGGATCGTGGGTCACATCGTCCACTACTTCTCGGTGCTGCGACCGGGTCTCAGCGTGCTGGGCGAGTGCTACGACTTCATCGGGAGTGGTCCTCTCGACCCAGTCGTCCGACTTCCCAAGGGCGTCATCGCCGAGCTCAGGGTCGCTGCTGGCTTGGTCTTCCTCGGCGAGGTGGACCTCTGCAGGGTACCGGCGGACGTCGCCTTCGTCACCGACAGCTCGCTCAAGGGCTACGCTGTTTGCCAGGCGCGCGTGGAGCCCGCTGAGGTGCTGGAAGCCACTCGCTGGAAGGAGCGCCAGAGGTTCGTCGCGACCGAGGCCGCCGCCGATCCCGACGCCGAGGTCTTCTTGGGTCGCGCCACCGGGGTCCTGGACAGCGGAGGCGACTTCGACCTCAGCTCGCGGCCGCAGCTGCGGCACGCCGTGGCTAGGCGCCGGCGCGTGGAGCTGGAGATCGGGATCCCGCCAGCGGCGCTGTCGCAGGAGCTGCTCGACCCGCTGCGCTGGCAGGAGGTGCGCCGCGGCGCCTGGCGGCACCCCGGCCGCATTCATGCGCTGGAGGCGCGCGCTGCCGTGGCGCCGATGCTGGGGGCCGCCGCGGACAGGAGCTTCCATGGCAAGGAAGTCCTCGGTCTCTGTGACAACATGTCGAGCGTCTGCGCCTTCGAGAAGGGCCGTGCGACGAACTGGGAGCTGCTGGCTCAGTGCCGCAAAGTGGCGGCCGTCTTCTTCGCCTGCGAGCTGCGTCCCAGGTGGCGCCACGTTCCAGGTGAACTCAACGTGGCCGATCGAGGAAGCCGAGCAGCGGACCGAGGAGAGCTGCTGCCTGGGCGATACCGAGGCCGCGGGCCGCTGCTGGCGCCCTCGCCGGGCTCGAGGCGCGAGCTGGTGCGCGCGGTGCCGCGACCAGCCCCAGGGCCCATCCTGTCGACCATCATGGTCAGCGACGCGGGCAGCCTGGACGCCCGGGAGCCCGCGCCGCCGCTTTGCTCGCTATGCACCGCGGGCGGCTATCCTTTGCAGAGACGGAGTTGTAAACACAGTTCTTCTTTTCTACATTCCTGTTCTCTACCAACTTGTCACGAGTCTGATGTCTTGGGAAGCCTTACGGATCCGACCGTCCTCGTTCATGACGCTGCAGTCCCCTACGGGCCCCACGCCGCTGCCGCTGCCGCTTCAGGTCATGAGGCACCTCGAGGCCATGATGTTCCCACGCCGCCGCGCGCCGCCGCTGGCCGCTGCTGCCCTGGAGGCCCGGAGGGGCCAGATCACGTACATCTACGTCGTCCAGGGGAAGCTAGGGGCCGAGCGTCGCCCCGGAAGCCGACGGGACCGACTCGGAGGAGCTGTCCTGCAGGCCTGGATGGGCCGTGGCCTCAACGTGGAGCTCATGATGGGGACCCCGTGGGAGCACCTGGTACTCCCCACCGTCGCCTTCGCAAGCCTGGCTTCTTGGAGGTGTTCTCGGGCTGTGCACGTCTTACGGGAGCCGTTCACGAGGCTGGGCTCAGATGTCTGGCGCCGATCGACATACGTCGGGGTCCTCACTGCGACTTGGGATGCCTCGGGCTCCGACGCCTGGTTGAGTCTTGGCTCAAGCGAGGCCGCGTTTGGTGGATTCACATCGGGCTGCCTTGCACTCGCTGGGTACCTGCCGGCGGCCGCAGAGAGCCGGGGCCCGTCGACCGCCTCCTCGTGGACTTCACGCGGCGGCTGCTTCGGATCTGTCGCCAGAGAGGGGCGCACGTCACTTTCGAGAACCCCCGCGACAGCCGGGTGTGGAACTACCCGCCACTGGCTCGCGAGCTTCGGCGGCTGCGCTGGCCCAAGGTCACCTTCGACAGCTGCCGGTTCGGCGCCCCGTTCAAGAAGCCAGGAGCGCTGGCCGGGTCGTTCGAGGCGCTGGAGGCCGTGGGGCTACGCTGTACCTGCCAAGGCCGCCATCGCGTGGTGCTGCAGGGCAAAGTGCGGCATCCCGTGCGCGGCTGGGTGTGGCGGACGACTCTGGCGGGCGCCTACCTGCCCAGCTGGTGCCGAGCGGTCGTGCAGATCGCCAGCTGCGATGCCCCGCCCAGCGCCTGGGGCCGCACAGAGCCCGCGGGCTGGGCGCGTTGGGATCACGCGATGGCGAGCGCGGTCGGTGCCCGCGAGCCCGCAGCGAGCTCAGCACCGATCTGCCCGCGCAGGTTCCGTCTCCCCTGGCGGGCGGCCTGGCCGAGCGCACTGGACCCCAGACCGCGCTCGTGACGCAGGCGCAGAGCTAGCGGAGCAGACTGGAGCGGCGTCCCCGCGCTTGAAACGGCCGCTGCGAGTCCCGCGAGCCGAGGCCACCGCCAAGCGGCAGCGCCGCGCGGCAGCGGTCGCCAGAGCCGACGCCTCGCTGGCCGACACCCCGTGGACGCCCGGCGACTATCTGCGTCTGGCGCGCCTCAGGCCAGCCACTCGCGACGCCTACGCTGCGGCAGTGGCCGAGCTCGAGGACTTTGCCGCTAGGCGAGGGCTGCGCTTGGACAGCGCAGAGGCGGCTGACCACACTGTCAACCTGTACTGCGAGGCCCTTTTCTTTGCAGGCGAGCCGCTTTACCTAGGTAAGAACGCTCTTTACGGCCTTTGCAAGATCCGAGGCTGGTCTGCTGCGCGGCCGCATTTCCAGCGATCCAAGGATGCGCTTGACGGCTGGGCGGCGAAGCAGCCCGCGAAGCCGCGGCAGCCCCCGCCCTGGGAGGCTGTGCTTCTCCTCATCATCCACCTTGCCAAAGGCTCGCTGCTGCAGGCTTTAACCGCTCTCGCGATCTTAGTTCAGTTTGACATGTACCTGCGCCCGAGCGAAGTGCTCGCCTTAGAAGTCTCGCACGTTGTTGGTGATCGTCGCATTGTTGACCAGCCGCGCTCAGGGCGCCAAGAAGTAGCCGCTATCATCGCCCCGCTTGGACACGAGGAATCTAGGCCTGCCAAGAACCGAGATTTTGATTGCACAGTCGTTGCTGGGTCTCGACTTCCGATCCGCCGACTGTGCCCTGGAGTGCTGCTTGCGCTTCAGGCTCGTGCTCGTTGCCTTTCGCCTCCCGCTTCGCTTCTTTTTGCCCCGCTCTCTCTTTCTGTGTACGAAAAGGTCTTGAGAGAGGGTGCCCTCGAAGCTGGGGTGCACGACCTCCTTAGTGTGCCCCACCAGCTCCGACACGGTGGTCCGTCCCACGATGCCCTGCACGCGGTCCGCGACCTCGGCGCCATACAGGCTCGAGGCCGGTGGCGGGCCGCCTCCAGTGTTCGCGTTTATGAGAAGCATGGCTCGCTCCTGAGGCAAACTGCAAAGCTTTCCAGTGCTCAGCGTGCCCTCGCCTCTCGCTTCGACGACCGTGCTCTGCTTGCCATTCTCAAACGTGTCGCTTCAGTCGAGCATCCCATAGTGAGTTGATTTGTCTTTGAGGACCCTCCCGCCCTCCCTAGGACATAAATATGGGTATGGGTCGTGTGGCAAAGTGATGGCGGTTTAACGCTGGTGTTTGTGCTCGGCCCAGGCGCGCTCCGCCTGGCCCTCACCTTTTCTCTTGAGAACCCTCCGTGGAGGCCCATGGCACTTGCTTGATGTGAAAATTGTGCATCGCTCAGGCTTCGCCTTTCACGTCCAGTCTTGTCTAGTGCTGTCTCCCCACACGTCACCCGGCCCCCTGGGAAGAGGCGCGGAGAGTGGTCAGGAATAGTTTGTCGTTCGACTCTTTTTCCTTGAACGGAGCCTCTTGATCTGTGCAGTCTGATCCCGTGGTGATGTGTTGGCTCGAAGCCGCCCACCCACCGTCCCCCACACTCCGTGTGGCAAAGTGATGGCGGTTTAACGCTGGTGTTTGTGCTCGGCCCAGGCGCGCTCCGCCTGGCCCTCACCTTTTCTCTTGAGAACCCTCCGTGGAGGCCCATGGCACTTGCTTGATGTGAAAATTGTGCATCGCTCAGGCTTCGCCTTTCACGTCCAGTCTTGTCTAGTGCTGTCTCCCCACACGTCACCCGGCCCCCTGGGAAGAGGCGCGGAGAGTGGTCAGGAAGAAATATTGTTAGCAAGTTACCGGAGATCTTAGCACGCCTCTGGCCCGTTGGGCCGGCGAATTGTTTTAAGCGCCCTACGGGCACGGTACCTTACAGTGTAAGAACAGCTTCTGTTTTGGGAACTTGACGTGGGTGTGGTTTTTGAGAGGCGTGCCGTGTCACCCGCCTCTCTGGCCTCGGATCCGAGTCGTTTCAACCAGCGAGCTTCATAGAGAGAGCTGTTCCCCGCTGAAAACCAAAGGTAGGTCAGTCTCATTATCTCTCTCTCTCTCTCTTTGTCTTTCTCTCCGTCTCTCTCTCTCTCTCTCTTTCTCTCTCTCTCTCTCTCTTTATTTCTTTTTCTCTCTCTCTCTCTCTCTCGCTCTAATGGCTGAACCCCGTTTTCTCTTCAGGAAGCTCATTGCCCCCTTCTGTATATCGCCCGCCCACAACTATTGCTGAGTTATCGTTGCATCATGCGCTCTCGGTAGCTTCGCAGCAGGAGATTTGCTCGTGGTAGCTTCGCACCTGGGCATTCGGGTGGGGCATTGTTTTCGGCTGCGAGCCACGGAGGCCGACTTGAACGGCGTGCAGGACGCCCCGCTGGGAGGCATGCCGGGCAAACGAGCCTCCCCCCCGAGGAAGGGGGGGAGGGAGGGAGACTGGCTTGGGAGAGCACCCTCCGGGGAGAAGTAAGAGGCTCGCCTTGCCTGGCCAGGGTCGAGGGGGCCGGAAGGGCGTGCCGCATCCACCGATGCATCTCGGCGAGATTGCGCGCGGTTTGGAGCCCGACACTCGCTTTTCTGACGCTGCCGATGCACCGACGATGTGGCGGGATCCCCCACCCCCTCTTGCTCCGCGCGATGGCCAGCTTGAGACGGGAGCGTGAAGGCGTCATGGCCCCCAGTTGATATGGCCTCTTTGAGGGGCCCTAAGGCCTTAGCCCAGAGAAATTCGACAGCAATTCGTGCTGATGGTCAGTGCATGCTATGGCCAGGGGACTGGGCGGGGCCCTGACTACAACGATAGTGTCTGGCAAGACTGGGCCAATGTGGAGTCGGTTCTCCGTCAAGAGGCATTCAATAGCACGTCTCGCTATTCAATCGCAAGATCCGAGGGGTGTAGGCATGTGGATCTGCTCGCCGACAGTTTGCCAGGAGCAGGCGACTGGCCGTATCATAACGACTATGGCATGGTATATTTAAGCACCGATCTTGGGCTGGCGAACCAGAGCATTCACTGCAGGGCAGCGCGCATGTAGTTCCAAGCTTGCGCCGCACCAGCCAGCAACAGGACATTGGCGCTTGACTGGAAGTTCGCCACACTGGCTTGGCTCATCTGTCTGGGGCCACATTCGCCGACCCCTTGGGGAAACAGAGCTGGGGAGAGAGGGAACATGCTTGTAATGACTATTGGGGCCGTCTTTGTTTAAGACCGTCTCGAGGCCCCCTTGCGTAAGCACTCCTGAGACCATATTAGGGCGCAGTGCATGGACAACCAGCAGCCAAAAGCGAATACATTTATATACATGTGTATATATATATATATATACAAGACTGCAGTGGCGCTTCGCGCCATGCACCTTGGTCCTTGAAGATTGCTACGCAGGCGGAAAAGGCAGGAAGGTCAAGCGGACACTTTAACGATAACTCTTTGCTGCCTTTTCTGGCATCGCCGTTATAATGATGTTGTTCGTTATCCTTCATCCATGCTTATTTTTCCTCATTCTCGCCATACCCTGGGCATTCTCCCCATCCTCCTCAGCTCTTTTTGCCTCCTCCTTGGAGAGCCTCTGGGAGCCTCACCAAAGTCCTCGAGCTTTCTTAAAGTCTTCTGGAGGCCTCCTGGGCGTGTTCTGGGGGCCTCTGGGGCTTCCTAAGGCCAACCTGCCTCTAACCGCGGTCTCCCTGAACGCCCCGGTCACGATTTGGAATGCTTCGGAGGGTGTCTTGGTGCCATCTTGGGCGGCCATGGGGCTCTTGTAGGGCCATTTTGGACCCCTGGTGTGCCGTTTTGGGGCTCTCTTGGACTGCCTGGAAGCCCTTTCGGATGGTTGTGGGGCGATTTTGGAGCCTCCCAGGCGACTTCGGACGCCCAGAAGACTGCTGTCTTGAAGCGTCGGGAAGCCGAAAAGAGGAGAACCCCAAATTCACCAAAAACCTACATTAAATCAATGAGTTGTCCCTCTTGGGGCCTTCTTGGAGGTGCTCTTGGAGGCCTCTTGGTACGTTTTGGAGCGATCTTTCGGGGTATGACGGCTTCTTGGAGCGCTCTTGTGCTGTCTTAGGGTTCTACAGGACGTCTCCGATGACCCCCCTGATCGCCCTAGGTGTGCTGCGACGGCTTGGCAAAACGCCCTGCGAGGCCCGGGGGGGCGCTTCGAGGCACGTCCGAAATGTCCCAAATCCCCAGATCCCGGGAGTCCGGTTTTTGGGGGGGGGTCCCCCCGCCCGGGCTTGCAATAATATAGGAAGAGGAATATATGTATATGTCTCGATATGTTAGTTGCCGTGATGTACTTAATCAGGCGCGTTGATCCTCTTCTGGGATCTTTGTGAGCGCCTCTTGGGGTACTTCTGCCTGCATTTTGGGTTTTGTTAGAGTCAGTTGCGTCGTCGTGGAAACCGTTTGGGCTACAGCGACGTCCTAGTGCACTTTTCTTGTGTCTTGAAGGCAGGGGTCGTTTTGGCAATTCCCCCCCCCCGCTGCATGGTACACCGCCCCACCCCCTTGCCCAAATCAGCAAAGTCGTCCCTTTGAGAGGGGCTTGGGGAGGGGCATCTCTCAGGCTGTTGCCCGAATTGACATCAGAGGCCAAGGCCATGACTGAATGTACTGCCCCAGCTGGCATCTAAGCAGAATTCTACACCATGCCAGAGCACGAGATGACAAAGACGGGATGGACAGCCGCAAGTTTGTGTATCGATACAGCGATCGTCGCGATCTTGCTCGCAGTCGGGAATTCGAATTTTACGTCGTGGCCGACTTGTGATGTTCGGATTTGCCCATCGACGTAGCTGGAGAACTCCGCTCAGGAGGTTGCACGTCCATTGTCCTCCCCCTCGGTCGTGTCTCTATGCTCCCAACTGTCTCTCGCCCTCCCCTTGCTGCGCGGCGGCATTGATCACCGCCTGCTCCTCGCCCTCCTCCTCCAGACCCTCCACCTGTCCAGGCTCCTCCTTGTGCAGACCATCCTCGTGCTCCTTCCTTTGCTCGAGGCATGCTCGCGTGCAGGGCCTTGCTGGCCGCTGGGCCGCGACCCCACGGTCGCGATCGCCCCCCCCCCGAGAATCATGGCTGCGAGGGCGTGGATGTGGATACGGTCGCCGCTCGTGATCTGCGTCCTCTTTCTCGTGCTGCTGGTGCCTCTGGTGCCCCCCCTGCACTCCTCCCGCGGCCTGCCCGGCCGCCCCCACAAAAAAAAACCTGCTTCAGGCCACGCGCCGGACAGCCCCCAGGCCGTGCGCTGACGAGGAGCAGGGAGGAGCAAGGGAGGGGTTGGGAGGAAAAGGAGGAGGAGGAGGAGGAGGAGGAGGAGGAGGATTCAGGCTGTTGCCTGTCTGTGGTACGAGGAGCGGCGTCGGGCGAGGCGGCGGCAGGTCGCGCCCACGACCGCTTGTCGGGCCGCCGTGGCGAGGAAGAGCCGGCTCCGAAGATACACCGTGTCTGTCTCTTTGCAAGCAGTAGGATCAATCACACCTTACTTTATCTGACAGCAACCGTAGCCGAACGCGCACGAGTAGCTCTGATCAAATCTGCCTTTGTAGGATGCAACCGAATTCTGCAGCATCTTCTGGAATATCACAAGTTAAGTAAATCGTTGACGTGGTTGGTTGTTGTGCAAGTGCGAGAACACGGTGCCTCCCCACGTCAAGTGCGCGTCGTCGACGTCCAGATGCGATTAAACAGAACAATCCCCAACCATGCGCCTCGGTGAATCTGGCTTGAGGTTGATCGCACCTCCATGTTCCTGTAGCCTGTGGTATTCTGGAAGCCACGCACGACACATACAGTTAGACCCATGGAAAACGTCGTCAGCATTTTGGCCAGCGGCGAGCAAAGTCGGCAGCGACCGATTTTATCGGTCGCGGCCGAAAGAAGTCGGTACGGCATTCAACGATCAGGGTCCACCCCGCCAGCCGCGCGCGCAGAGCAACGCGTGAGCATGGCGGCACGACAACGACAAAGACGGCCAACAACGTCGAGGAGGCCCGAGGACGACGCCGACGGCGACGATGACGGCAAGGACAGCGACGACGACGACGACGAAGACGACGACCACGACCATGGCGACGACAACGACGACGACAACGACGACGACGACGACGACGACGGCGACGGCGACGGCGACGGCGACGGCGACGACGACGGCGACGGCGACGGCGACGGCGACGGCGACGGCGACGGCGACGGCGACGGCGACGGCGACGGCGACGGCGACGGCGACGGTGACGGCGACGGCGACGGCGACGGCGACGGCGACGGCGACGGCGACGGCGACGGCGACAGCGACAGCGACAGCGACGGCGACAGCGACGGCGTTGACGACGGCGTTGACGACAGCAACGGCGAGGACGACGACGACGACGACTACGCCGACGACGCTGACGCCGACGCCGACGCCGACGCCGACGCCGACGCCGACGCTGTTGCCGACGCCGACGCTGACGCCGACGGAATGACAACCACGGCCACGACCACGACCACGACGACAACCACGACCACGACGACAACCACGACCACGACCACCACGACGACCACCACGACGACGACGACGTCGGCCGCGCAGCGGCGGCGGCGGCGCCGACCAGGCCGCGACGACGCGGGCCGCCGCCGGGCAGCCGCCGTGGCAGCAGCCGTGGCCGCCGGACGTGGTGTGCCCGCGCCGGGCCGCGGGGCCGCCGCTCGACGGCGCGCGGCGCGGGGGGGCCTCGGCCACGTCTCGTGGCGCGGGAGTGTCTCAAGCAGTGGCGGATCGTTAAGGACAGATCGTGGTGCAGCCAAGGCGCTGAAGTAAGGAACAGTTTGGATTCGGAAGGGGCTCGATGTTCCTTGCGTCCTTCCGTGGTTGTTCCTCTAGCCCTTCTCGTGCACCCAGGCTTTTTTGAAGCCGCAGGGGGGCTTCGTTGCTTATTGTAGTGGCCTTCGGCCAGTGCCGCCGATCCGCGGCGCTCCGACTGATGTGATCCTTCTTCGCCCTCGTCCCTCCTCTCTTTTTCCCTTCCCTCCTCTCACTCAGCATTTATCCAGTGGCCGTCGGCCTATCCCGCCACCGTGCGTGGGTGGTGGGTCAGAGGCCTCATGGATGCTGGTTGGGATCTCGTGGTTGGCTGGGACTTCTGGGGGCCTCTTGGGCGCCTCTTGGGGCTTCTTGGGGGCCTCTTGGGCCTCTTGGGGCCACTAGAGGGCCTCTTGGGGGTCTCTTGGGAGCCTCTTGGGGCTTCTTGGGGGCCTCTTCTGCGCCCCTTGGGGCCTCTTGGAGGCTTCCTCGGAGCCTCTTGGTGCGGGAGGGGTGGTACTCGAGTTCGGACCCCCCTCGGAGGCCACGATCTTTGTGAGGGGTGTCAAAAAACGCATCCGCCAGAAACTCGCACCCCCCCCCAACCCCCCCTTCCCCTGCAGAGCCACCCCGGCAACCCCCCCAGAGGCTGAGGCTCAGCCTCGAGGCTGTAGCTGAGACTCCTTGAAACTCACACGCCGGATCGGCGGATTTAGCGTTCCTTATTTCAGCAGCCCGACTGTAGGCCCATAAGAATGCTGGGACGGTCGGTCCCTGCTCAAGCGTCGCCACCTTAGGGGCAACGGTGGCTCAGGGGCAACGCATCGACTTTACTCGCCAACACGCTCAGGTTTTCTTCGCTTCCGTCCGACCTCGGCGGTGTCCCAGCTGCGCTTCAACAGCTGCGCCTCCGCGAGAACTTCCTGGGGGTGCCGGGATTGTCCCGACCGGCCGGACCAGGGGCAACGACAGCGGGAGATTTGGGTCTCAGTGGGGAACAAATCGACTCCAATCGCCAACTCATCGCTGACATGGGCCAGATAACCACCTTGCCCAGGAACGTGCGGCTTCGCTATAGGGGGACTACTATCGCCGATCTATCGGCGATGTGTCGCCGATTCCTGGTTAATGTTCCCCACCTGAGCGCGTCCCCCGATCGTTGCCCCTCATCGACACCAAGATCCTGATCGTGATGACCATGACCGAGATGTCGCGGGATCTTGTCGACGCAGGTCTTGGTCACGGTCCGTGCGGGCCGTCGCCGATCCGCGAGGATGATCCCCGAATCGACGGTGGCCAAGATGGACGATGGCCGAGATCGACACCGACGTTTCCGCGTTCAGTCTTGGTCATGGTCATCGTGTTCTTTCTTTCCGTCATCGTGTTCTTTCTTCCCACTCTTGGCATATGAGGGTCGCCACTCAGATATCCGACTACATGTTTTGTTGCCAGCGTTTGTTTCTAAATTTCGGCGTCTGGGAGTCTGGGAGCCCGTTTTCGGGGCCGCTTCAAGTTGATCCTGGACGAAAAACGAACCCCAGGAAAGCGGTTGGGACCCCAGGAGCCGCGCATTGAAAAAATCAGATCGGCGAATGCTTGGAGATGGAGCAAGCGGGTCGGGTGCTCAGATGTTTCGCCGTTGTCGGTTTCTTGGGGCCCGTTTACGGCCCCCCGGGGCTGTGAGAAAATTACCCAGCACGAGCAATGCGTGTTGGGAGGAAGCCCCGGGCCCAGGGCCCGTGTCCATCAGGACCCGCGAAGCCATGAGAGGGGCGGAGAGGGGGAGCGGCAGGACAGTGAGGGGGGAGGGGGGGGGCGAGGAGGACGGAGGAGGGGGGGAGAGAACGGGCAGGATGACGGCGAGGAGGGACGGGAAGGAGGAGAGGAGGAAGGGGAGGAGGACGACAAGGAGAAGTATTGGGGAGGAACGGTGGGAATTCGGGCGAGGAGAGCACGACCAAGGGGAGAACGCGGAGGGAGAGGGGGGTAGGGGAGGAGCAGGAAGATGAGGCGGAGGAGGTCAGCATGTGGAAATGGGGCTTCGAAGGTAAAGGGCCCTGAGGTGTTCGCTGTTTTCGAGCTCTTGGGACCTATGCGGCGCCCGAGGGTGTGGGGAGGGGATTAACGCCCCCTCGCGTGTTCGTGTTTTTCAAGTTGCAGAAGAGGATAAAAACGATAACCAAGATGCTCGGGATATCGGGTTGATGATGATGATGATGATGATGATGATGCTGATGCTGATGCTGATGGTGATGATCAATGATGATGATGATGACACAGATGATGCTTGCTCTCTCAGGCCTTCGGATGCGGGCGCAGTCTGGCCTGGCGCGCCGCTACTGTCAGTCGAGCGAGAATGGGAAACGCATCCGCTCTTTGTAAGCTGGCCCATCGGGCCCCCGCGGCCGCGGGCGCGACCAAGTTCACGCCATGGTAAAAACGTAATACGACTTATCATCCATCAGCGCGTGGTCGTTGCCGAGGTAGCAGCGCGCTTGGAACGCATTAATCGCGTAGCGCCACTTCACGCGGTCCAAGTAGTTCGGGAGCTTGCCGCCGTATTTGATCTTCAACTACCTCTTCAAGCTGCCCCACTTGCTCTCGATGGCGTTGGTGGTGAAGCCTCTGGCGTTCACGATCTCGCCACCCTCGTGGTGCACGAGCTCGTGGCGCAGGGTGTTCAGCGTGAGCCCCTTCTGGCGGATGGCTTCAACGGCTGATACGGTCGCGCCCCATTTGTCCGAGACAAAGACGTCGCCCTTGTTGAAGCTGAGCATGCCGAGATTGTCGTTAAGTTCCTTGTGCCCGCGGGTTGGCCGTCCTTCGCGGCTGCGGGGTGCCCCAAGATGTGGAACCCGAAGTGCGAGCGGGTTTTCCCCTGCAGGACGGTGCCCCATATCCAGATCTGGTGTTTCTTGTGGCGCGCCGCCTTGTTCACCTTTCCTGGCTTGTTCTTGTTCAAGAAGGATCCGCCGGCAGTGAGGACGCGCTTGCCGATCGTCTTCTCGACCTGCTTCGCGAACTTCTTGGACACTTTCCGCGCGGGCTTCTTTTTCGTCTTCTTCTGCGCGCTGGCGGGCGCGACTTTCATGGCGGGGGCTTTCTTTGGCGCGGGTCGAGCCGCGGGTCGCTTGCGCGCGCCGTTCTCTGTCGCCCACAGTTTTTTTCGAGTTCGGGCAGATGAGATCGCACCAGTCGCTCGTGCGCTCCTTGAAGGCGAGCAGCCAAGCGCCCACCACCTTCTGGTCGAGGTGGGACAATTCGAAGGTGATTGGTTTGTGGGAGTAGCCAGCGAACCACATGACTAAGCAGTCCAGTTCGTCCATCCAGTGCCCCGCGCGCGTGCCATCGAATAACGTCATTGTAGCGGCGTTCGGCCCCTTATTTGCTTATGTTGATGCACGGGTGGCCGTTCACCTTCATGTTCTACACGTGTTGCAGCGCTTCGCCGAAAGTGAAGCTGGGCGCGTAGTCGGCAAGGCCGAGGGAGGTCCCCAAGCTCTCCGGCAGCACCACCGCAGGGTTGGTGGTGGCCATGTTGTTGCAGCGAGTGCCGAAAATCATGAGACGCCGACCGATGCGGCCATGTCAAAACCTCCTCCACCACGAGGGGACTTCTGGTTGTTGTGGAAGCCCTCCAGAGCAGCAGTGCCGTGCCCATGATTCTGCACTACGGTGCGCCATGCAATCGCAATCTGCGCGCTGCCATATCCCCAAACGGCAGTTTTTTTATAAATCACGTGCAGGCGAGTTGCCGTGCGGGGCGCAAGTGGAAAGCCATTTTAGAGACCACTCATTTTCCCATGTTCAGAATCTGTCCTGGGCACCCCTCCCCGCTCGCAGGCGTACAAGGGGGGATCGATGTTTGGATTTCCCCCTGGGGCCGTTGTTGTAAAGTATTCGGGACACCAGAGTTGGTAACCAAACGTTGCGGCCATCAAATTGTATCGGTTCTGCGATTATCGGCGCTACTCGTCTGGTGATATATCCTGCTATCTGGTGGGCGCGACCCTCGCCTGCCTCATCTGAGCTGGGCTGAGCTGTTCCACATGTGGCCGAAAGGGCATCCCATATGTGGATGCCCGTGTTTTGCCACACCAAAGCCAGGAACAGGAGCCACACAGAAAACATGTGCATAGCTCCCTGCTTATACACCCCACAGCTATCGGGAGTCATCCGTGCGGAAGAACAGGAGACAAAGGGATGAAAAGGAGGAACACAGCCATGGGAGAGAGAGCATCCATTTGCGGATGCCCCTCACAGTCTCTGCCGCATCAATGCGGAGGGGGGGATGGGCATCCATTTGTGGATTTGTTTGCCGCCGTCGTCGTCGTCATCCTGTGTGCCGCCGTCGTCGTCGTTGTCCTCCTCCTCCTCTTCCTCCTTCTCCTCCTTCTCCTCTTCCTCCTCTTCCTCCTCCTCCGATTCCTCCTCCTCCTCCTCTGTTTCCCCCTCCTCCGTCTCCTCCTTCTCGTCCTCTTCCTCATCATCCTCCTCCCAGTCAGAATCCCCTTTGCGGAGCAGAGTCGAGCAACGCCTCATATATATATGTATAAAAATAAACAAACAAACTTCTGAGGGACCCCCACACACACCTGGAAGCCCCCCCGGCTGGATTGTATTATCATGTGGCGTTAGGAGGAGGAGGGAGGAGGAGGAGGAGGAGGAGGAGGAGGAGGAGGAGAAGGGAGAGGGAGGAAGAGGAGGAGGAAGAGGAATCACCGCTTTGGAATTGCCAATAATCCCCCCCACACACACGGGGTTCCCATGCAAAGAAACTTGAGAGGCAACAAATCGCGGGGGCCGTTGTGCCCCCCAGCGCCGCCCGAGGACCGTAGGACAACTATTTGGGACGACAAGTTGCTCTTGGGAAAAGCCCAGGGGTCCATGACACATTTGCCCGATAAATGTTTGCCCCACAGCACGGCACGGAAACATGCGATGTTGGAGGGACAAGGGATCCAGGAAGCAGGAGAGGAGGGCAGAAAGCAGGCAGTGGGTGGAGGACGTGGAGGGACAGGGATGGTTTGGCTTCGGTCCTGGGGGGTGGGCGCGAAAACGCGAACCGATGAGCCATTGCTGCGGGAATGCAGGACCCGATGTGGTCTGCGGTCCTCAAGAAGAGGGAGGAGGACGAGGAGGAGAAGGAGGAGGAGGACGAGGAGAAGAAGCAGGAGGAGGAGGAAGAAAGAGGAGGAGGAGGAGGAGGAGGAGGAGGAGGAGAAGGAGAAGAAAAAGGAGAAGGACAACCAGGAGGGACAGGGGGGGAGGATGAGGGAGAGGGGGGAGGAGGAGCTGCAGGAAAAGGAGCACGAAGGAGGTGGAAAAGGAGGGATGGAGACAAGGGAGAGGAGGACGAGTGCGAGCATCTCCCCACATCCTCGTTGTCAATTTCGTCCCTCGTCTATTCCTCTCGTTCTTCCTCAATCCTCCTGGGTGCTGTCCATCAGTGGCTTCGCTCTGTTGGTGTCTGCCGCCGTTCGGCAATCTCGCCAAGCCATTCCGGCTCAAGTCCAGTCGCGTGGTCCTCGGGATGTTGTTTTCGGGGCCTGCGGAGCATCATGTTGGGGTGTCCGCCCTCATTGCCGATCTACGTGCGGTCGGTTCGCGTCGTGTCGACGCAGCAGCGACCAAAGCGTGGGCGTTCTAGGTTGAACGCCGCCAGTGGCCCAGAATCGGCCATTATGGAACAATCTGGCAAGCCGCCGATCGTTCAAGGTAAGACGACCCACGCAATGTCAGAGACCAACCCCAGGATCGTCACGAAATTGCCGTACTGCTGTCGGCCTCATCATCCACATGCTCTGCGGGAACACCTCCGTGGCCAGCAGCGCCCTTTGCCGACGCTGCTGACGCCACCGGTCCAGCTGCGCGTCGAATACTCCGCTCTACCAGGGTTGAGTCGGTTTGCCTCCACGTCGCCAGGAAGGCTGTTGCGCCCCCTGCTGGTGCTTTGTAAGTGCGTGCTGGCCCGTTCATCGTTCGGACGAGGAAGGACGAGGTCGGAGCCCAGCTCGTCCAGTTCTCCTCCTCCTCCCTCTTACCCGAGCGGGACTGTTTCAGATATTGTGAAACTTCGAAGTCTTCGGATGTCTCCGCTTTTCGATCCCGGCCGAGCGGGCTCGAGTCAGCTGCACTGGCGTCTGGCAGCGTCGATTTACCCATCTTCGAGGCCTACCTGTAGAGTACCGAGTGGCGCCGGGTGGCGCCGACTGGTCGGGCCCGAGGGTAGGCGTGCGAGCGTGACGAGGGGAACCGATGGCGAGGGCGACGACGATGAAGAAGGTCCGGGCGGAATTGCACTATGTGCTCGCACGGCTCTTTTTGCGCAGGTTCGCCGCACCCCCCCCCGCTCGTCGGCGCACGCCGCTCGCCCGCGCTCGCCCGCAGCCCGCCCCATGTGCGGAGGCCTGGCCTGCTCGCCGATTGCGCCGGTCATGGCGGTCGGCGCGAGCGTCGACGGGCACGCGGGCCTGTCGCCGTTCTCGCCTGACAGGCCGCGGGCCCTCGTCCTCCCCTGCCCGCCCATGCCCAGGCAAGCTCGCTCTGCGAAGCAGAGACGGGGGGAGGCTTTTGGCCGCGTTCGGCCTCCGGGGGCGCTCCTCGGGCCCCGGGGCCGTCAACAAACACGACGCGGGATGAAGAAACAGTCCCGAGGAAGGGGTCTGAGACCTCCAGGTACCCCGCATAGAGAAAAAAAAAGACAAGATCTCGTACGTCTGGGAGTGTGACGTCTGCCTACCCTATGATCAGAGAAGGGTCACAATTGAGACAACGGTTGTTGGCCTTCGGAAGGGCCCCTCGTCGCCAGGCAGCTCGGAAAATTTGCGCGGCTGGACGCCAGGAGGGGTCCGAGGACCGATTTTGGTTTGCCGTCGTGTCACTTCGCCCAGCTCTGAGATGAGCGAGGGCGGGAGGAAAGAGGGGAGAGGTGGCAGACAAGCTGGGCGCGCTCGCGCAACCTCTGGCGTTCCCACGGCGTGGAACCCTTTTCTGTCCGCTTGCTGAGAATTCCTGGAGGACCTCGATCCCCAAATGCCGGTTGTAGGATTTGACCCATCGTTTGCTGTGCATTCGGGAAGGGGTGCTTCTGTACACTGGAGGGGGAAGAGGAGGTGGAGGAGGAGGAGGAGGAGGCGGATCAGCAGGAGGAGGAGGAACGGGGAGGGAGCATCAAGGGAAGGCGGAGGACGGGAAAGGAGGGGGACGGCAACGACGAGGAAAGGAATTGGATCCAGACATGTGTTTCGCCCTTGGGCGAGAGTGGTATTCCGAAGCGTGGCCAACGCTGCAGCGGAAACACCATTCCTACGGGTGGAAGACGTTCCGATCGAAAAAACATGCAGCTCAATGTATGGGACACTATATGCAGGAGTGACAGAATTAGTATCGTTGCAGATTGTCCAGGGAGAGAGGAGAGTAGTTCTCATGTTGAGTAGTTATTGAGGGGTGGGTGTGAGGGAGTGGGTAGGGTCGATGGGAAAAGAGAATAGGGAAGAAGGGGGGAGGGAGGGAGGAGCGAGAGAAGGATGAGGACGACGACAATGACGACGAGTGGGAGGGATCTGCACATCATGAAACATGTTTGTGAGCGAACCTGAAGCAACATGCAGAAATATTTAGCGCGTCGGTTTCCAGGGCGCTGGTAGAACAGAACACGGGTGCAGGTGCAACGATATTTCTGGTATAGTGTCTCACTGGAAACACGGGAATGAACGCAGGGGGGACGCGATCTACCAAAGAAGTGCCTTCGTTGCATCGTGCTGTCCATATCCTCCACTAACCACTGGCCTTTTTGGTGTGTCTCTCTCTATCTCTCGCTCTCTCTCTCTCTCTCTCTCTCTCCCTCCCCCTCTCTCTCTTTATCTTCATCTACACTTCTCTCGCTTGCGCCTCTCCTCGCCTTCCTTCACCCTTCACTTCCCCTTCTGCTTAATTACTCCCCCCACTCCCTCCCACGTCTCTTCCCGCTCTCATCATGCCTATCTCGCTACTCGTCTTACTCCATCTTTCATGCCCACTGTTGTTCGGCAGTTGAAGGGCTTCGATGATTTTTGAAACAAGTCGCCAGTGATGGGTGATAAGGGTCGTGAGACGATATAACCAATCAAATGGAAACGCGTGGTTTGAGAGTCTGCCCATCAATCTTTTTTCATTCACGCTGATCTTCCCTCGGCGCCCATGGAAGTCTATTGATTTGGCGGCCCAGAACCGTGACCAGATCACAGCAACGCTTTCACTCGACAGCGTCCGTTTTCTATTATTGGAGTTGCTTGCTGTATCTATGCATCGCTTGGGGATGCGCACCAATACTATTCAGGCTTTGTTGGCCGGTCTCTTACATGTAATCGCCTCCCTCTCGCGACCTTCCTTGGCCCTCACCATCAAGTGGACCCTTCGTCTCTGTTTCTCCAGTGGTCCAGTGGCCCATTCCTTCTCGAGTACTCGCCGCTTGCTGTTCACACGTAGTCCGCATTGGTGCCTTCCACGCCCGGTGGTTGAACACCCGTTAGCTCAAACCGATGTTCCTGCGATAACGTTCGCCTCAACCCCTATGCCTTAGGAGTGCGGTACGTGCATTGTGATTCCATTGTTTGCATCATTCCCTACCTGCAGATTCAGAAATCCACTGCGATTGGCATCGCAAGACCAAGTGCCGATCAACGCGATGCACGTGGACTATGCAGGCGGGCTGCCGGGCAAGCAAGCTGACAGGCAGGTAACGAATGAGGGAGGGGGAGAAGGAGGAGGTGGAGGAGGAGGGATGAGAAGTGAGAAGGAGGTGCGGCGGTATAAAGAGGAATGAGGCGGAGGGGGAGAAGGACGAGGCCGGGGAGGAAGTTGGGGATTTGTGCAAGGCAGGACACGACGTGGGAAGGGTGGCCGAGAGGAGGGTCCCCACCACCAGCCACCGCCGCCACCGACTTCGCTTGCACGGCCCTGCCCCTCAGGGCGCCGCTTCGGGCTCGGTCATCCTCCTCGCCCGGTCGCCCTCGCTGGGTGTGTGCGCGGTGGGCCTCGCGCTCCCCAGAGGGAATGGGGCCAGTCATCGTACTCGCCTTTCGGCCACGCTCCACCTCCCTCGGCCTCCCTTCCGCCCCCCTCATCCTCTTCCTCCTCGTCGGTATCATCCTCCTCCTCCTCCACGTCCCCCCCCCCCCCCGTTTGTCCGGCCCCTTCCTTCCGAGCTGGTGTCATGGCAGCCGTGCGAGCCGCAATGCTGGACTTCCGACGCGATCCGTTTCTGATTTCTGACATGGTGTCGGTCCGATGGCGATAGTGGTCCGACCGCTTCAGCCGTTTAGGATCATTATTGCAGGTGTTCTTCTTTCCTCTTGCCCCTCGCCCTATGAGCAGTCATGGCCGAATGCCTCGCCCTCCGTTCCACGCGTTTCCATGTCCTCCTGTAGCGCCTCCACCTCCCTCGCCCTCGTCCTCTTCTTTCTCCCCGAACGCTAAGACAAGGGACCGTTTTGCTCATTCTCCTGATCTAGATCCTCCTCCTCCTCCTCCTCCTCCTGCTACACATCCTCCTCATGCTGGTCCTTCTCCTCATTCCATGGTGTTCTCCCGGACCTGCCCTCAACCTCCTCCTCCTCTACTTCCTCATCGACCTGATCTAGCTTCTCCCTCTTCTCCTTCACCCATGCCCCCTTAGGAATATCCCCTCCATGTCGCACCACGAGGCGTGCTGTTCGGGCGTACCAGGCGTTTCGCTTGAAATTGAAAGTTCCAGCAGTTAAATGGATGGAGGGTGAGCGTTTTTTCTTTAATTCAGGAGTTAGCCTTGGCGCCGTGCACACTCGTCCAAAGAAGCTGAATTCTTACGCAGAAGGAGAGCGTTTTCGTTTCAAAATGGGGTGTTCGCCTTGCCACCGCGCGCAATCGTCCTAGCAAATAACAGAAGTTACACGGATGGAGTGCGACGTTTGTTCATGATGGGGCTCTCGCGAGTGATTGCGTTAGCAGTGATGACCACATTCACAAGCCTGTGCAACAGCTAGACGGATGGACGGCGGCTCCGCTTCATTATGGGATTGTGTCGCAATGCTTAGAAGCTAGAATATTGTAAGGACTACATGTGTAGAGGGCGGTCCCTTTCCCAAAGACGGTTATCGTTGCGCACTCCCTAGCATGTTAAGGCCCTTCTTTGTCGCATCATTTCTAGCTCGAAGGATGGACCGCGGTTTATTCCAAAATAGTGTTCCCACTCGAGTTGCTGCCCCGGGGGACGCTCGTCTTTCAAGGGGGCCGCTTCGCGCCGCTTCGTTTTTTTCTCAAGTGGCTCCCGAGTTTCACACTTCCGCCCACTTTTTCTTTACCGTTTGCTTCAATTCGGCTATTCCCCACCACCTTGTGGTGGTGGCCCCGCGTTTTGAAATAACGGTCCCCGCGTTCTCGTCCTCCTCTTCCTCCTCCTCCTCCTCCTCCCCCTCCTCCCTCGTCCATCACCACCATCAGCATCACCCGTTTCAGCACACCCCTCACACGCTGTGGCCCCATAGGGAGCCCCACCGAAAGTCCAAGTGCTACCGCCCGCATGCGCCCCGCACACCCAGTACAGCGCTTGGTTGCAAAACGTGGGACGAAATGCGCACGCGCGCGTCGTCGCGCGCACATGTCGAAATCCTTCAAAAACCCTCGGTTTCGGAAGGATTCCCAAATCGAGTGTTCAACACACACACAAACAAAGACCGGGTTTCGCAATACGGATTTCCAAAGACAAATTTGTGCGCGCGTTTTTGCTAATATGTAAGAAAGTCATGGGCTTTTGAACACTTTCAGAAGATGCTACCAAGCGGGGTTCGCGTGCGCGCACGTCGAAATCATTCGAACGGCCTTGCGCGCGTCTGGGGGGGCACGATCCGTGCTAAATGGTACCATGCGGGCCACTCGTGCGTCTGCCGCGCGCGCATTTCGAAATCCCTCCAAAATCTCTATCACCGACGCGACGGCGCCGTCATCGTCGTCGGCGTGATCAATATCGGCGCCGTCAGTGGCTGCCCCGTCGTCGCTGTCAGCATCGTCGCCAGCATCGCTGCTATCATCTTCGTGTCTACCCCTGTGGACGTGGCCATGATACCGCGCCCGCCTAAGTCGCCGAATCGCACTGAAGTGCCCGCTGGGATGTGCTGAGCGGTCAGCGCCACTGCGTTCGCGTCGGTCGCGCCAAACTATATGGCCCCTGCGCGCGCGAACATGCGCGGGCTAGCGCGGCCGCAGAGGTGCACCAGCCAACACCAAGCGCCCAACGCAATCGCCGCCGCAGAGGTTTTGCAAACCATGTTGCGGGTGGGTGGGTGGGATGTTCACGCGAGCAGTGGAGTGGACGACTCACTGCGAGCCGCCCGCGTGCGTCCCACAGACCCAATTTGGCATTTTCACCCACCCAGTACAGCGCTTCGTGGCCCCATGCGGCCCCATTGCTACCGCCCGCATCCGTTCCTCCCCACCCAGTACAGCGCTTCGTGGCCCCATAGGGAGCCCCACAGAAGCCCCCATTGGGACCGCCCGCGTGCGCCCCACACGCCCAATTTGGCACTTCCACCCACCCAGCACAGCGCTTCGTGGCCCCATAGGGAGCTCCACCGACGGCCCCAGTGCTACCGGCCGCATGCGTTCCCCCCCCCGCCCATTGCAACGCTTCGTGGCCCCACAGGGAGCTTCACCGAAGAAAATATTTACAATTGCGGCACCCACAACCTCACATGGTTGGGTCCTTCGCCAGGATAATTCTCGATGTGTTCATCTCTGTCTCTGGCGGTGTCCGTTTTGGAGGGCATGCTGGCGCTGGCTGTTCAGATGCAGAGCGGGATCAATAATCAGACGGACGCATCAGTCGGGGCCATGCGCGCACAATTGGAAGCGGACATTCAAGCAAGTGTGGACAGGGTGACGATGGTCGAAGACGGACAGACTGACGAGCGCATCAGCAAGCTCGAGGCAACGATGTCTTCAGGCACTTGTTCCTCGCTCATCCTTTCCTGTTTTAAGATTCTCAGTGCGAGTAGAAAGACCGAAACAAAAACATCAGCATTTCGAGGGAGCAGGCCGAACTATTTGCAGCATGTCCAAAGGCTGACTTAGCGCCGACGGTCCGGGAGAAGGTTGGCTGGCGGCATCGAGCTCAGAGGGAAACGGGCCCACAAGGTGATTGTCCACGCCACCCCGCCGTGCGACACGGAGGTCGCGGTGCTCTTCAAGGATGCGTTGCAGGACCTCGCGAACAGCTTCATTTTGAACAACAGCGTGCTCTTCACCACTGTCCACTTGGAGCCTTCGGAACAGCGTCGATTCGAGGCTGCTGGCAAAGCGAGGGCCTTCTTGGACGTGAAGGCGAAGTCGAAGGACCCTACAGTCCAGGTGTTCGGCTCTGGCCATCCAGGGTCCCGAATCTCTGCGAAGACAGCGATTGCGTAGGTGATCATGGGGGTTGTGGACGAGAATGGGACGACGCAGTGGGATTCGGCGGCCATCTAGAGGGACTTCCACTGCAACGCTGGAGCCATAAATGCGGAAATGTCGGCCTTCCGGACCGCGCGAGCACCCTTTGGGTTTACCATAGGGAGCGTCCCGACCGTGATTTGTTGGTTTTTCCCCTAAGGGGGCGGGCGCAGCAAAGAAGATCTGCAAGCAGCTTCGACAGCATGCATCGGGTGGTGTTGCTGCATTGTTACAGGAAGTTCCAGCATGGTCGGTTCTGCATGGATATACACTTTCTGCCCATGCCGTTTTGTTTGGAGAGCGCTGCAACTGCGCACTTATTACTCCTAGAGAGGATGCAAGCGCTTCGATATCTGACTCTGGAGCCTACAGGTATTGTGCAACTATATCGAATACCGTGCACCTCTCGGATCACATTCCAGACCATCTGGAAGAGGATGGGCGCGCTGCCGGGGCGCTTGAAGTGACGTCTAGGTTTGTGCAACGAGTTCGCGGCGCGTTCATTTACACGTCCTTGGAGTTTCCGATCGGGGCGGACGCTAGTGCCCAATTCCCGGCATTTCCGCGGTCGGTTATTGGACGCGGCGCTGGAATGGCGGAGGACACATACACATACGAAGGTCGCAGTTGTGGGCCCGTGGTTGGAGGCTTTGAGGATCTCGTTGCTGAATGCTTCCCGCACGCCTCAGGCGGTAGAGTAGCGGGCACATGATGCGAGACGACTCTGGACGCACAGAGGCGACGATAGGACGCGCGATTCGTTGATCGACCACATTGGCACCGCTTCTTGGAATATTCACAAGATCGGACCATGGGCCTTGCGCGGGCAAGCGCGTCGAACGCGCCCCCTGGCAGCGCCCGCACGACGTTGCAAATGTCGCTGACAGGTCGGACGCCCGCTGACGAGCAAAACGCGGATATGTTCAAGCAGCTTGCAGCGTGCTCTATATTTTGCGACCCGCCTGAACTCCAGGCTGCAGCAATGGAGGCCGGGATCGGAATCTGGCCCCGCGCGGCAGGGCAACGGGGAAGGCGAGGAGGCAATGCCATCAACGGCGCGGCCAAGATGACGCGGGCACCTTTTGCCATTGCGGCGCGCGATGAAGGGCGAGAGCAAATTAGAGATGCATGGAAATTTGCTCGGGCGGCCAAGCGTCGACGGAACGGGCGACGCCTGCAGCGGATTTCGAGGTCTGGCGGTCCGTCGAAGCCCCCGGCGACGTCGCATATCATTGAGGCTCGCACAGTGGACCCAGGCGCGCGGCAACAGGCTCTGCGGGAATTCGACAAGCAGAGTTTCTCTCACGGGCGCAACATTGCAATTGCTCAGAAGTGCAGGCTTCGCCGTTCGTCGCAGGCGCGCCGTAGGAACCGCGTGGATGCACGAGCCCATCCAGGCATCGAGCACATTGACCTGCTCGCGGCCCGAGCGAAATGGAAGAACTGCACATCTCCTGGCAACGGCGGCGAACCGCCCGAGATGCGCGAGGAATTGCCGCAGATGTTCGCGCGCGCGCATTGGCAATCATTCATTCACATGTAGATTCACAGAGCTACGCTCCGTCGACCCCCCCCCCCACCCCGGCTGAAAATTCATAGATTCCGCTGGGTTTCCGAAAAGTGCCACGTCAGATATTTTGGGAGATTTTGGATGGCGCGGCACATTTGGCGCCGCCTTGAAGTGGCGCGCGCAATCGCTGCAACCATCAGCCCCGCCCCAGTTGCCACGTTCGGGTGCAGAGCCAGATCTGCGTATAGCGATGTGGCGTCGGTCATTCGTCAGTGCGCTGTTTTGCCCGTCGAATGGGAAACCCGCTGGTCTTAGGCCCTGGGAATATCGAAATTGCCTTCGGCGCCATGCGCCATGAGAAGATGTTAAAGGCCATGATCGGGCGACGCGTTCCCCGTGACCTGGCAGGAACTCTTCATAGGATGGCGTCGGGCACGCAGGGGCCCTTGCCCATGGGGCGACCAGGCCCGTGACCTCGTGGCCGATTTGATGTGGAGACAAACCAGGTGGCCCAGAGACTTCCTTGAAAGCGCAATGTCATGCTCAAGCGGACTTTCGCCGTCTCGCAGCCCAAGTCGGCCGCCCAAGACAAAGGGCGATTCCTCTTGGACCCGGACGCCGGCCAGCATTCCCCGCGCGCGAGTTGGGCAAACACATATTTACAAGCAGGTCGCGTCGCAGAGTTTGCGCGCGCGCCTGGGGAGCTCGCCGACGCCATCTCGAACGTGGGCTTCCGATGGAAGGCGCCCCCCTTCACGCGCGCGGCGCGCGGGGCGATGCGCGGCGCGCTCTTGGAGGCGCCTGTCGTGGGGGCACTTGGCAAGCAGGATTGCCGGATAGTTGACGCCGTGGAGTTCCTCCTGGAGGTCGCGACTAGCCGCGGGGGGGGCGCCGCCACTAGCGTCGAGCACATTCTAGGCAAGGCTGGGGGGAAGTCTGGGAGCGCAGTTGGGACGCGCAGGGAGGGGGGGGCTCCGCTGCGTCAAACGTGAGAACGCGGCCCATTGGCCCAGCAGCCAGCGCGGCTCACGGGTCGTCGACGTGGCCTCTGACCCAAAACGTCACGGCGCGGGAAGGTGTTCGGATTCCGCCGCAGGCCGGGCGAGGGGCCAGCTATGTTCATGACCCCCGCGGTTCGTCTGTTGAGGCGGCGTGTTCGCGCGGCCGGCACTCGCCCCTTCATCTTCCATTGCCCCGGGACGTCTTCAAGGCGGTATGGCAGGAGCAACGCATCACCCTCGCGACAGTGCGAACTATGTCCTGCCTACTGCAAGGCAAGCGAGTAGCCGATTATGGTGGGGGTCAGTCAGGCACGCGCACGTAGCCTGTAGACGGCAGGAGGGAATCGTCCATTCAGTGCATGGCCTCCGCGTTGAGTGGGAAGACGTGTTGGTATTAGCCTACGGGGAGCAGTGACGCGAGAAACGCGACGCCTGTTCAACGATGGTTGAATGGATGTCTCTGTATTCCAAGTTTGATAGGTACATATGCGGACAGTGGGCGCTTTTCACTATTTCGGAGCAGGCGCCGGCGACAGACCAGGAAGGCCGTGCATGGGTGAAACGCCAGCGGGTGTCATTGTATCCCTTGGAGTTGTCGTTTACCTCGCATGGGGATGGCGTCCCAGAAATACGATGAGGGTGGAAACCGGCTAGGGGCATAGATGATGTTGTTGCTTGGGGCCCGCGTGACCGAAACAAAATCAATCGCTGATTATCTCACACCATGGACGAGCGCAAATATTGGGCGAATGCGTTCCCAGATAGTGCCAAGCTGTCCTGTGCTACGAATTGGCTCGTACATTTTGAAAGCGGTGCTCGCGCCGGGCAGTGCTCCCCGGCCGCGTGGTGCATCGAAGTTGTTACTGTCTGTGGTCAGAGCACAACGCGGTCTTCGGCAATTCAGACTGGAACGTTTATACGTGAGTTTTTTCTTCACGTCTACCAGAAACCATCGCCATGGAGGAGGCTGTTCGAGCGCTGGCTCAAATACAATCCTTTCACGCGCGGCCATTACGAGCTGACTAAGGCCACCTCACGAGTGCCTTCGGCTGTGTGGTAAACGGAGAATGGAAGCCGGAAGGGACCACCAGGGGGACATGGGACGGCAGGGTATTTTACAGCCTCCTTGATACATCCTTCACCGATTCCGGCCTTCCTCCCTTTTGTTGCGACGACGGCGGCAGCCACGACCAGGCACCGCGGGGGGGGCGACGGCGTCGCCGCCCGCCGCCCAGGTGCCGCGCTGCCGACGGTTGGCTGGGCGATGCGAAACTTGTCCCCGCGGCGCGCGCTGGGGAGCACTCCGCGGGTGGAGGACAGACCTTGCCGCCGGCAGCCGACGCCGAACGCCGTCGGCCTCCGCCGTCATTCCTTCTCTCTCGCCCCGAAGCAAGCAGGTCCACAACAGGAGTTGCTCCACTGGCGGTTGTTCCTCGGCGTCGGTCTCTATAGGCCCGCTGTCAGGCCCCCGGACCGTCGGAAGTGTATCCCGGGCAGGAGGCTGCCCCAAGGAAGGCTCGGGACGTCGGGACCTGTGGGGGTCCGCGGATGACAGGAATCATCCCGTGTCAAGGCTCCCACCGTTCTCGGACTTTTGGGCAGGTCCTTTCCAGGGCCCCAGGGTTGCCAAACAAGTTTTCAGGATGAAAAGGTTGTCCCTGTGAGAGCCCTGAAGTCCAGGGCCCGTTTCCACCAGGGCTTCGCTCCATCATACCAGTCTTCCTCTCTCACCCTCCGACTCCTGCTTCGTAATCGTCCTCCTCCTCCATCCGCCACGTGGCCAGGAGTTTGCTGGCAGCGCTTTGCAAAATATCTGGCCAGCTTCGCGAGGGGCCCAACCATTATGGAGCTGCGTACGGCGCTGGGAAGCCCTCTCCTCATGCAGCTCGGGCCGTGGCAAGGATGGAGCTGGAGTCTCCTATGGGGCACGATCCGTGCAAGGGGTGTCCCGAATGGAACGATGTGGCACCATGCGAGCTCCGCCATAAGACACGATCGATTTGTGGGATGTGCCGAAGAGGGTTCGACCGAAGATCGGCCGCATAGTCCTAGAAGAAGTTGGTTTGGGCGAAGCCCACTGACCAGAGGATCCAGGTGTAACCTGACCGTGCCAAGGCGCTGATTGTGGCAAAGCCTCGTGAAGCGAGAGCGCGATGGAAGAACCACCCTGCCGCCCGAGAAGACGTCGGCTTGGGAGAAGCCCAGCGACCAGAGGGCACAGCCGTTCAATGATTTAGCCCTGCGCGATTGCTGGTTTGGGCAACGCCCATGAACCAGAGAATTCGATCGAAGACCGGCCATGTTGTTCGGGACGACGCTGGTTTGAGCGAAGTTCATCGGCCAGAGGACAAAGGGGGTGTAACCTGGCCATCTGCAGATGCCAGTTTGGGCGAAGCCCCATGGCCACAGGGCCCGGTTGGCAGCAGGCCTTGTCGTGGGACGACGTTAGTTTGGTCGAAGCTACGTGACCAGAGGACCCATCCTGAGATCCGGACGTTATATTTTTACACGCCAGGCGTTTTCGTCCGTTTTCGGGCCCCAGGACCATCAAAGATCGTCGAAAAGTGACGCAGAAAGATGTAATTTGGGGCTCCATTCGTGATTGTTCGCGATGTTGCAATTTGTCGTAACGTAGGATTTCGGGGCAGGTGTAAGCTGGCTATGCGTTCATGCTGGTGTGAACGAGATGCCCAGTGACCAGAGCGAGCGAGCGACCACCAGGGCGGACAGTCGTCTGGGCCTAGCTAAGACCAAGTAGAGGAGGCCATGGCCTCTGGAACATGCTATGTACATTGTTCTGCGCGGACAAGAAGACAAGTCGCGTAAGGTGGAGGGGCGGTGGAGGCGAGAAGGGCTCTGTCCTGTCCCAGTTGGACTGCTCGTCGTTGGTCGGCAGAGTTGGTCGAAGATCAGCCCCGGCACGGCGCGGCAAGGCACCACCGCTTCGATAGGCCAACCTCCTGGTGAGCCAAGCCCTTTCTGGCGCGGCCCAGCGCGGCATGCTCACCACGGCACCGCAGTAGGGCCGCCTGGCACCGCATGATGCCCCGCGCACGAGCGAGGCTGCGACCCGGGCGCCCCCCGCGAAGGCTCAGCTCGGGCATTGCCCAGACAAGTCGACCCTGGAAATCTGCAATGCTCCACTCGACATTGGCATTCGCGTGTGCGGGTGCAGTCCCCAGTCGGTGTCGCTGATCGGCGTGCGTTTCGCTCGATAGGTTCGATTGTTTTTGCACTTCTGTTCGCTACCACGTTGGGGTCCACTCGGAATGCGGCGCCGTGCGCACGGGGAGTGCCCCTGACAGATTTCACTCAAGGGCGAAGTGAGGTCAATATATTTGCCGCCGCTACTACCCGTCATCCTGCCGCTGTTCGAGGAGTACGTATCGGAAGGAGCAGGAGGAGGATAATCACAAGATCAGCAACAGCAGCAATAATACGAGCAGGAGGAGGAATGCGAGGAAGGAGACTGGAGGAGGAGGAGGAGGAGGAGGAGGAGGAGGAGGAGGGAGGAGGAAGGTAATGAGGACGAGAAGCAGGAGGGCAGGAGAGGAAAAGGAGGCATGAACTCTCATTTTCTTTCTGCCTCTTCTCCCCCATTGCCTCCCCTCCCTCCTCACTTCACCCTCCTCCTCCTCCTCCTCCTCCTCCTCCTCCTCCTCCTCCTCCTCGTTACCTTGCCTTACCTCCTCCTCCTCCTCCTCCTCCTCCTCCTCGCTCCTCCTCCTCCTCCTCCTCCTCCTCCTCCTCCTCCTCCTCCTCCTCCTCCTCCTCCTCCTCCTCCTCCTCCTCCTCTCCACTTTCCCATCCCCTCTCCCACCCGCTTTCATCGCATTATTTGAATTCCCTCGCCCAGCCCCTCTTTGGATCCCCCCAAGACTCCACCACTGCTGCCCCATCGTTAGCAGTCCTTGCCCGGAATTCACCCATCCATCCTTGCAGAGAGGAGGAGGAGGAGGAGGAGGAGGAGGAGGAGGAGGAGGAGGAGGAGGAGGAGCGAGGAGCGAGGAGCGAGGAGGAGGAGGAGGAGGAGGAGGAGGAGAGCAGCAGCAGCAGCAGCAGCAGGAGAAGTAAAACGACGACGACGACGACGACGACGACGACGACGACGACGACGACGACTGTTAGTGGATCGGGCGATGGAAGAGAAGGATGGAGAGACAATGGGGATGAGGACGATGACGGTGCTGATAATGAAAATAATGGCATGAGGGGGAGGAGGAGGAGGAGGAGGAGGAGGAGGAAGAAGAGGAGGAGGAGGAGGAGGAGGAGGAAGAGGAAGAGGCGGGGAAGGAGGAGGAGCGCATGAGGAGTAGAAGGAGGGGGAGGACGACAAGAGGGAAGACGAGTAGACTGATGGGACAGGATGAGGGTAAAGAGGATGCGACGTCGGAGGATGAAGGGGCGTGGGAGGAGAAAGGGAGGAGCGGGAGAAGGAGGAGGAGGAGGACGCCCTAGAGCACCATAGAGCCCATTAGAAATCACGATCGCCTGCTCCTCCTCTCCATCCCATCCTTCACCTCATAATCCTATTGCGACGGCCGTACGGCCGTTGCCGCCGACCCTGAGAGCGACGAAGATGAAAACGAGGGGGGGCAGGGTGGAGGAGGTGGATGAGAGAGGAGGAGGGGGGAGAAGGATGTGGAGGAGAAGCAAGAGGAGGAGAAGGAGGCAGAGGAGAGCAGGAGGAGGGGGAGCAGAGGGGGGGAAGGAGGAGGAGGAAGAGGAGGAAGAGGAGGAGGAAGAGGAGGAGGCCAGAGGCTTTCTTGGGACAGCCTGTGGCTCTCCTGAGGCCGTCTTGGGCCGTCCAGGGCTCCTCTTGCGCCGTCTCGAGGCACTCTTCGGCAGTCTTGGGGCAGTTTGGGGGCCCCTTGGGAGCCTCTTGGGGCCTCTTGGGGCTTCTTCGGAGCCTCTTGGGGGCCTCTTGGGGCTGAGAACTCGAAATGTCCGTTCGGGTCCCCCGTCTGGGCACTCTCCTGGAGCCGTCTTGGGGGCCTCTTGGGCCGTCTTGGAGGCGTCTTGGGCCGTCTTGGGGCCCTCTTCGGCAGTGAGGGAACCCTCGTGGGGGCCTCTTGGGCCGTCTCGGGGCGATCTTTGGGGCCTCTTGGGCAGTCTTGGCGCGTCGGGAAGCGTAAGAGGCAAGAACGCTAAAATTGTCAAAAACAAATGGGAAATCCATGAATTTTGCCTCGTGGGGCTCTCGTGAGAAAGCTCCTGGAGGCCTCTTAGGGGCTCTTTGCAGGCCTCTTGGGCCGTCTGGAGGCCGTCAAGGCGTCTTGGACAGATCGTTCGGCGATTCGGGGTTGTCTTGGACTGTCGTTGGGGCCTCTTTGGCCCGTCTTGGGGGTTTTTTGGGCTCCGGGGCTCCAAGGGGGGGCGTCGCATCCGACCCCATCCCCCCTGGGCGTCTGACCCCCCCCCTGGGACCCCCCCCCCAGGCGGGGAAGGGATCGAAGGGAAGGGGCGGCTTCCCTTCGACTCAATTACGACGTTGCTTATTTTCGCTTTGGCTGGCGCGCTGAGGAGGTCCCTGGGAAAGGGGGGAGCTTCGACGAGCCCAGGGAAAGAGGGGAGGCAGGGAAAGGTGACGACAGAGACGACGACCAACGAATGACGGAGATGACGACTTGAACGGACAAGCCCCTCACACACGCCGACAGGGTCGGCGGATTCCTGGAGAAAGGGAGGAGCGGGAGAAGGAGGAGGAGGAGGAGGACGCCCTAGAACACCATGGAGCCCATTAGAAATCCCGATCGCCTGCTCCTCCTCTCCATCCCATCCTTCACCTCATTATCTTATTCCTCTTATTCCATGTCCTCCTTCGTCCTCCCTAGTGATTCTTCCCCCCCTGGATGACGAGGAGAGGGGGGAGGAGGAGGAGGAGGAGGAGGAGGAGGAGGAGGAGGAGGAGGAGGAGGAGGAGAAAGGAGATGTTCGGGATTTCTTTTGTCTTTTGGGCTCTACAAGGTGTCCTGACTCCTCTGCTTCTGGAGGAGGGCCATGTTCAGGCAAGCCTCGGATCGGGATAATTGCTCCAGAGCGTGCCAGAACGTTCTTAGAGCGTTCAGGAACACTCTGGTAAGGCCGCGGCGCCCGCCACATCCCTCAGAATTCCTGGGTCTCAGAGGTGCACGATTTGGCCTGACCCGACCTTGTCCCGATCCTGCCTTCGTCTCACATCTTATCCCCCTTCTCCTGGACCGAGACTGCTCCAGAGCTTCTTCACCTGAGAGGCCCTGGCCCCACCGCCGTCGCCCTGTAGGACGCGCTCCAGCATTCCTGCGCGCGGATCGGGATCTGGCGCTCGCA